TTGAGAATAACCGAGGAAAAAAAATTGAGAAATAAATATTTTAATTTTAAGAAACATTGCTTAATATGTTAATCTCTGTTTTTTTTTTTTTTTAATTTTTAATCCTCTTATTTTTTTGGTGTTGGAGGATTTTAAATATAGAATTATTTTGATAAGGGAAATGGATATTAAAATATTTTCCCTCGGTTAAATGTAAACATGTAAATTTTGCTTAAATATGTGCTTTGAAATTTTAAAATAATCAATCAGCTTTTTGACAATAAGGCAAAATTATTTTTAATTGCTGAATAAGAAATGAGCTGATCACTATAAGGAAATGGTTTTAAAAGTGTGGAAACATTTACTTAATACAAGAAGTTTTATAAGAAAGGTCAGTACACCTAAAGATCAGAAAAATTTGTAAATAAACTGAAATATTTTTTTCGGTTAGGTATCTAAATATATTGAAAATTTTAAAATTATTGATAAATTTTTTTATTTCTCGTAAAGCAAATTTTTTCAACTTCTTTTTCTAAATACCTAAATAATAAATGAGCTGATTACCATTTGGAAATGGTTTTAATGGTCTGGAAATATTTACTTAGTACAATAAGTTTTCTAAAAGGGCGCAACACTACACACCTTGAAAATTATAAATATTTGTTAAGGATATTCAAATATTTTTCTTTGGTTAGATGCGATTTTGAAAATTGTGGAATTAATAAGAAATTTTTTTTGCTCGCAAGGCAAATATGTTTTAATTTTTTTAAAAATAGCTAAATAAAAAAATTAGCTTATAACTATTAGGAAATGGTTTTAAAGGTGTGGGAACTTTACGTAATACAAGAAGTTTTCTAATAGCGAACAACATTACAAATCTTGAAAGTTAGATATATATATGTGAAATTAAAATATTTTTCACGATAAAATATATATATATATNATATATATATTTGAAATTATTAATAAACTTTTTCTTATTGCTCGCAAAGCAAATTTTTTTATAATTTTTTTTTTTTTGTAAATAGTTAAATAAGAAATGAGCCCATCACTATTGGGAAATGATTTTTACACTAAACATATCATAACCAGTCAAATGACCGTTTAAGAACTTTTGCATCGAAAATGTGCTTATCATCTTATCGTTTCTGCACATTTGACTTTATGACTCTTTCTAACAATTATATACAGTTAATATTCTTTTATTATTTTTTATTCTGTACTTTGTTTGTTTCGAATAATACTTGTAGTATACCTATTTCTACCACAAACGCTCATTTGACCGAAAGAATAATTTATTGCTTTATAAGATTATCGGATCAGAAATTATGATGCAATGTGTGCTCAACGTTTTGCAATCCATTAGTTGCACATTTCTGCAAAGACTGTTGCGTAGTTAGTTCAATCAGAATAACTGTGAATTCACACTTCAAGAAAGTACCTTAAGTTTTAGATTGGCATTTTTGCGTAAGAAAAAGTGACAGAAACTAAATGTTTTGGTAAGTAGCTTATATTTTATATTGATAGCTTTACTTCATTTCTAACTAACTTAGTTTTTACCCAGAAAAAGGTCGAAACAATCAAGACAGCGCAAGTTCTTAGAAGAAATAATATAAATTATAAGAATAATTAAAAGTATTATAATTATATATATGACGCCCGGTGGCTGCGCGGTAGAGTTTCGCGCTGTCGTGCCACAGGTCCCTGGTTCGATCCTCGGGCCGGGCAAGGTTGACTCAGCCTTTCATCCCTTCAGTGGGACGATAAATGAGTACCAAGCATGCTTGAGAACTGGGGGTTCCGCGTTCGGCTGAACATCTGCTCTTGCACCCCAGAGCCCAAGGTCAAGAAAACTGAGATGGGCACAGTAGGCCTTGGCCCTCTTTGGGCTGTCGTGCCGCTGAGTTTAGTTTAGAGTTTAGTTATAATTATATATATTCTTATAACTATAAGAATAATTATAAGAATTATAGAAATAATAATAATGAGAAGAAATATGTTTGCGGAAAATGTACAATGGAAACATCCTGTATATGTAAAAAATGCATTGAGCAATGAATTAAAAATTCTTATTCTTTGTGTTTGTTATGCATAAAAATTGACAATATACAATTCTGTTTAATTATAATAAAGTTTTTTTAGGTTATTTCCTTCTTAACATCCATATTTCATGCATTCAATCAAGAAACAAAGTCCAGTCATTTGAAATAGGTATAGATTAAGTGTTGGCATGTTTAGTGTTAAAGGTGCGGAAAATTTAATGTTCTGTTTTTTTTTTTTAAAAAGTGGACAACATTATAAACTCCGAAAATTGGATTTGTTTTTATTTATAAACAAGACAAGTTAATGAGCTAAGAACTCACATCACAATATCCTATGGAGAAAACAAAATTTTTCGAAATATATAACTCAAAAGTCCCCCCCTCCCAAAAAAAAAAACCCAGCTATTTAAAAGGGCCTTGAAGAAGACAGACGACATCTCTTTAAATTAGAATCTTAATGATGGGTCATAAATTCTGCGGGTCGATTTTGTTGCTCTCATTTAGTAGACATGCCAAGAGATCTACAATACACTGACCCAATAAAAAAGTGAATTTGAAAAGATGGAGCGTCAAATGATTCATTGAAGCTTTGCCTATGCTTCGAAATTTGTCAAAAATGATGGATGACCACTTGCTATGACCTCAAAGATATCCGGTGACAATTATTATTTTACAGAAGTAGGAATGTGTAATGAATCATGGAATGTTTTAATTTTCCTTAAGTTGTTGACTTAAAAACATAATAGACGGGTCAAAAGTTGGCTTTTGAAGGAAAACAAATTAAGGTAAATTTAACGTTTCTAACGGAATTTGATGGATGTTATCAAATAAGGATTTATTGGTAAATAATCAATAAAGCTATATTATACTATCGCTAATCACATTAGTCTTATTTATCGATTGGTTAACCTACATTTAGATAAATAACTTTTAGCTTTTTCATATTTTTAAAAATGATCTTTACTTAAGAAAGTCATATTATTTTTAGAGGAAAGTCTTTTCATATCAGACACTTTCCTTAAAATTAAGATTAAGACATACACAGTAAAAAAAATAATAAATCTGCTAAATTTACGGATAAAAACTGACAAATAGTGTGCCAGTATAAAACTGTTTATTTCACAGAAAAATATTGCTATTTAAAACAGGCGCTTGTTTTATAAGCAGTTAAATACTGCTATTTTAACAAACAAAAAACTGTTTAAAGTAACTAAGGCAGCAATGCAGTAGGTGCGAGCCGAGAGCAGAGTACGCATAACCAGTCAACGTCGGGATTCGAACCCGGGCCCACCCCCTGAAAGGGTGAGCGCTCTCTCCCCTGAGCCACAACTCACGGTAAATAGGTTTAGATGTACTTATAACAAAATGAAATTTAAAATGTTGGAATCAATATAATATTTAAGTTTTATAATTGCATATATGTTCTTGTGTATTAACATTTTAAGAAATCATTTAACATAAATAATGCATGCGTAACATACGGCACGCATACCTAAAGAAATATGCGCATCCATTTTTCTTTAAATAAAGATCAAAATTAAATTTATATAAAAAATCGTAATTTCTTCTCTAATTATTAATCTCATTAATTAAGATGTGTTTTGTATTAAGATATTATCTAAATATAATTTCACAATAATGTTAAAAAAATTAATTACAATTATTTTTACTTTAATTGTTTACATATTTTATACTTTATTTCATAACTGGCGTTGAATACCGAGTTAACGACTATCAATGTTCAATTCCGTAACCTTATCATTTTGAACCTGATCCAGGAGACAAGGGAACTCCTGGAACAATCATTGCGTGAAACTAGCCTTCGTGGAAGACTTTTTGATGGAACTCACCCGCATTCGAGTTCATTTAGAGGAAAACCACGAAAATCCGACGGCAAAGGTATTTCAACCCATTTAGCACTGAAGATATTTTAATGTCAACACAATGATAGAGCGCTCCATCCCCTGAACCACCACGAATTAAGATTGGTAATACACTCTGTAACAAAAAAAAAAATCGACGCACCAAGAATCACTCACGCCGGCACACTGCCGAGCCAGATTACAGTGGTGCATGGCTGGAATGATGCCGACTGGGGATGCATAGTCCTTAGCAACGAATCCCGCTTCCAACTGTGTCCTGACGATCATCGAAGACGTGTTTGGAGAAGCACAGGGCAGAGGGGGGATCCTGCCTTCACTATTGCACGCCACACCGGCCCTCAACAAGGCATTATGGTCTGGGGTGCCATTTCCTTTGACAGCCGGACCCCTTTGGTCGTCATTAGAGGTACACTTACTGCACAGCGGTGCGTCGACGACATCCTAAGACCTGTTTTGCTACCGTTCCTTTTGCAGTGCTCTGGGCTGGTTTTTCAGCAAGACAATGCCAGACCACATACGTCACGTGCTGCTATGAACTGTCTGCAAGCTTGTCAAACTCTTCCTTGGCCTGCTAGATCACCAGATCTCTCTCCTATCGAGCATGTCTGGGATATGATAGGAAGGCGATTGCATCTGGTACGGAATGTTGATGACCTCGCTCGACAGTAGGATCGAATTTGGCAGGAAATACCGCAAGAGACCATCCGGGAGCTTTATTGGTCTATGCCACGCCGTGTGGCAGCTTGTATCCAGGCTAGAGGCGGATCAACACCTTATTGAACTTGTTACTGTAACTCTGCAATAAATTATTCAATTGTTCTAAAATTTTAATCATTTACTATTCTGTACATTGTCTTCCTTTCCACCAATTTTCGTTTCAATCGGACAACTCCTCTTGGTGCGTCGATTTTTTTTGTTATAGAGTGTATATAAAAATACCATGGTATATTTGAAAAAATATGATATAAGAAATGATAAAAAAAAAAGCACTAACTTATAAGTTGACCTCTAAGGAAATGTACCTCAAGTGGTCACTTTACACAATTGTAACGTAAATACGAGGAGTTTAATATTAATTAACTTTGTTTTGTTCTAGATAAAGCGATGGAGGGCCTACCTCTTCTTCGAGAAGTGACTAAGTTGATCCTTGACTCTGAAATTATTGAGGATCCCAAAATAGTTACAGCAAAGCATAAAGTTACTGAGTTTAAGCACCCCAAGGAGTTGGAAGTAAGTTATTTATGTTTTTAAAATATGCATGAATCCATATTTTTTTAATTATTATTAGAAATGTTTGCTGCTGAATAAGCAAAAATATTTCATCTAACGTATACTTTTGTCTTTCGAATGAAAATGAAAGGAGGAAAATGGGAATTAATTATTGATAAATGCTAAAATTGATGACTAATATGCTTTACTAACAAGGAGAGGATATGACTCGGAATATTCAGTTTGGGATGAAATTTGTTTGAAACCAGGCAGCCGATTTGAAAAAAACTTGTTCAAAAACTTAAACACGTTTTATACATTTAGTTAAAACTTCGCTTCGTTAACGGCCCAGTAACCTTTTGTTTCATTGCGAGACGATTTAGGGTTCGAATCCTGCGGCGGGTCGCTTTGTTGTCTGTTCCTTTGCTTAATTTTTTTTTCTTTTACAAACAGCATTAACTTACATTTAACTTTTTATAATTTAAAAATATTAATTGAATTTTAAATTGCAGTACATTTTATTTTTTTCAATCAAGATTTTTCTGTTTACAAATAGCATTAATTTAAATATAAATTAATTTATCTTATTTCTTGGATTTTTTAAATACTGTATATTACTTGACATTTAAATTATGGTACTTTTTTTTATTACTAAGATATTTTTGTTTACAAAAATAGCGTTAATTTATATATGAATTAATTTGTCTTATTTCTTGGATTTTTTTAATAACTGTATGTTACTTGACATTTAAATAACAGTATTTTTTTATTTTGTTTAACTAAGATTTTTCTGTTTACAGATAGCATTAATTTAAATATAAATTATTTATCTTGTTTCCTGTATTTTTTAATAACTGTATATTACTTGATATTTAAATTTTAATAATCATCCAAATTTTAAATAAAATGATATTGGTTCAAATAATAATATATATATTAAGACTGATTATAACAGTTAAAAAGGTTAGAATTAAAAGTTATTCCTCCAAAATGTACAGTCCTTGTGCTACCTTGTGGCATTTAGTTGTAGAGATAAATACAAAAAAATCTAAAAAAGCATTTACAGCATTCCTCAAGATTAATTAAACAAAATTAAAGAAATGAATTCACGTGAAGATTTTATTTTTCAATAAAACAACAGTTAATCGTCTTTAACCATCGCCACTTTATAATTAAATAATTAGATATAATTGGTAGGTTGCTTTCAAAATAATGAGAAATCCTTTTGAGTGTTAATGAAGTATGTTTTTCAACAGATCAAATTCATAAATGTTGTACACGCTAACAATAATCTTGTATTAACAATATTAGGAACAAATATTTTTTGTTCTCATTTCTTACATAACTATAATCTGGATTCTTGTTCATATAAAAAATATATTGTTCAAATAAATTTAACTTGTCAACTATTAAAAGCACCATTTAAAAATATTATTTTAAACACTATCATTTTAAAGAAATACTTGATTATCACTGTAATTTAACTATCAAGAAGTCTAAAATAGTTTTAAAAATACAATAAATAAAATAAATTATATTTAAATTCATACTTATAGTAAACAAAATAAAAATAAAAATTATTTGTGGAAAAAAAAACACTGCTCGATTCGAAATACCATTTGATCCGCCAACGGTCCGCGGCCCGAGGGTTAATGCTCACTAGTTTAGAGTGTCAATTTGACTAGAGGGTAAATTGTTTACTGTTTCATGTAACCTATTTTCTTTAATATTTGTTTATTTAGATACTATTGAACATTGGTCACAGAGGGGAAGATATAATACAGATTCCAGTATTTATGTTCCAAAACAAAAAAACGCAGAGTTGTTTTAAGTATTATAAACGCAAAACGTTTCAATTGCAGCTAAAATTTATATTATTTGCTGCTGAATTTATATTAATTTCCGCTGAAATTTATATTATATTATTTAATTAGTAATTCGATCTTTTTAAGAAAATTTTCCTAAATGCCTGTCCATTTTGAAAATGACCCACAAACATTAAAACTATTACAATATTTATGCTTTCACTTAATTATTATTAGAAATTGTTATTTCACCGATCACAGAGTGGTGAAGAAAAATATCCTCAGTGGTACACTTATTATGACATAGAGTTCCCCTTAACGTCAGCGTTTGCCGTCCAATGAGTCGGGTTCGAATCCGAGCAGTGGCTGGTCGATAGAAATTCCGCATCCGGCTTGCACCGACTACGGTGCTGACGTAAAATATCCTTAGTGTAAGACGGATCATTGGGTGGAACCCCCTAGTTGTCAGGTTAACCGTGGGAGGTTTTCGTGGTTTTTCTCTCCATGTAACGCGAATGCTGGTTGGTTGCATCAAAAAGTCCAACAAAAGGACAGATTTCTCACACTGCTTGATACAGAAGTTCCCTTGTCTTCTGGAATGGGTACAAAATACAAGGTTACGGTGGTGAACATTAGTAGTCGTAAACTCAAAATTAGGTCTTCTGTTCAATGACCGTTATAAAATAAAAACCGTACAGGGTCGGAGCAGTGGTAGCTCAAGGAATAGAGAGTCCACCTCCCAATGAGGTAGGCCATGTTTGAATCCCAGCGGTGTCTGGTTGATAGGAATTTTGTCCCGGCTCGCAGCAACCACAGGGCTGACGTAAAATATCCTCAGTAGCAGACGAATCGATCATGGGTTAGAATCCCCTTGCAGTCAGGCTAACCATTAAGTTTTTCGTGTTTTTTCTCTCCATGTGAAGCAAATGCGGGTTAATTCCATCAAAAAGTCCTCTGCGAATGCTAGTTTGCTTGATTTACTTTGATCCAGGAGTTTCCTTGTCTTCTGGGTTGCGTTCAAAATGACAAGGCTACGGAGTTGAACATTGATTAAAAAAACCCTTCAGAGTTCGACAAACGAGTAAGGCCAATTTCAACTGGAACTAATTATTCTAAACGACAGATGCATTTTATATCACGGCGTGAGTTCTGTATATTTATAAAAAGATAATAATTATTAAACATATTTTATGTTCTATAAATTACTATTTTATACTTTTTAATTTGGATAAGTGTGAATTACGGTCATGAGTGTGTATGAACACTGTTGAATGGTTGTTATTATTATATTAACTCATGTTCAAAGCAAAATTCATTAATATATCTGTTCAGTAGTTTGTGAGATAATTGTTTAAATCCAAATTCCAGTTTGCAATGCCAAAAATTTAAAAAATAAATAGTCAGCGTCGTGCGTTTTAAACTTTTTCCATTAATTTTCTGTACATCTTCAAAAAATTATCTTGGGTCACACTTTCTAACTATTTAAAAAATTTTCGTTTATTGAACTAAGTAACGAATAAAATTTCTTCGTTCTACCATTTTTTTGGTATTGTTTCATATTAATCCTTTTGTAAGCGTTATCATTTACGCGATGTAAGAGTAAATGTTAATTGTTGCAGCATGAAAGCCGTGGTGAGTATAAATTTATCAAGGAGAAAAAAAATCTTGATTTCGACTCACGCATTTTTATAAGTACCACTTTTTTGAATCAGAGCCGTTGGATGGATTTCAGTCAGGATGCGAAAAATGCGCACAACGTGGGGCTCGAACCCAGCATCCCGAGATTAAGAGTTTCGTGCTCTGTCGACTGAGATAGCCTGGCTTAAGTCGACGGTTAGAAAATTTACAAAAATGAATTTCATTTTTTAAAAAAAAAATTGCGATAAAAATTGCAACTGATAAAATATTCGTAATAGCCCCCTATTTATTAATGTTTGACTCGCTTCTTTATTTCGGGCATATTTTTAGATTTTACAGGTTAATTTGTTTTTTAAATTTTTGTACAAATTTCTTAAATTAAAGGCAATTTTTGCATTGAAGATTTATCTTTATTGTCATTTTATTCACGGAGTTTTTCTAATATATTATTTGCTTTTCATATTGTAACTATGTTTATGTATGTAATAGTATAGGTAGTAATACAATTTGTAATTTTAGTATTTAACACTTAAATATTATTAAGAGATTATTGAGAGAAATTATTTTGCTATTACTAAGACAAATTTTAATTACTACTATAAAGAAATATAGCGTTTCATTTCAGCTAAATATATGTTTTTTAATAAAATTTATATTCCATATAAACTTATGGAAAAAAAATGTTCAGCTTTTTAAATTAATTTTTAATATAAGGACTTTCTTTTAATTTCCTTATAATATCACGGGGCAATATTTATTTTTACTTTTCTATGTCTCTATAGGAAATCTTTTGTTATTTTTAAAGGCATTGAATATTGCCGAAGCTGGTTTTAGGCAAGATGTTTTAGCTAATTTATTTTACATTTATAAATAAAAAATAGGAGAACGCAATCACTTCTGCAGAATCTTAATAATATCTAGCTTGTATATTATTGATGTGGTAAACAGAAGTTTAATTTAAATTTTTAAAAAAAAATATGTCAGCCTAGTGTACTGAATAATAAGTATCATAAACGTCAAGCTCCATTCTTTTTCAATAAAAAAAAATTATAAACATATTGTAATGTTAAGTAAAATTAGACTTACTTTTGAGGCGTTAAAGAGTCGTATATTTAAAATACGATTTCTCAGGTACTATAGAAAAGATTTCTTTCAAATGTATATTTTGCCTTATAAAATTACATTCTTTGAAATTATGTAAAGATTTGCATACATTTTTTCCGCTAGTATTAAAAGAAAATTAAAAATATTAAATAATTATTAAAAAATCAGTTTCTGTTGGAAATTAACTTAGGATAAATGAATTGTATGATTGTATGGGTTAAACTTTTGATTTGCTTAAGAAATTCTCGAAATATGTCAAAATAAAAGTAAAATTAACATAACGGGGTCCGAACCTTAATACCGCTCTCCTTACCAGATTATTGGGACCACATTTCACAGATTAAGACTACCCCATAATTTGAAGGTAAGCAATCTAAACGCGTAGAAAGTAAAAGGAAATAAATGTTTATTCAGAGAAAGCACGTTTTTGCGTCTTATTTCGCAACTTAAAATATCATCTGGACTAATTAATAAATATTTGAGATCAACCTTTTAAACCATTAAGTCTTCGATGATTCGTTCACTAGACCAAAAATTGTTTTGGGTGTGCGGTTTTCTCTTTTTATTTTTGCGCACTTAAGAATTACTTTGGGTTCAAAAATCTTCGGATAAAATCATAAAGTTGGTAATAATTTAATCAGTAAAAATATATGACAAGTTCAAGTGAAAAAAGGAAATTTGGCGTCGTTGAATGTATCAAATTACAAAATAGCTACAAGCTGGGATAAAGTAGATAAAATCCTAAACTATTTTTCATTAAAAAACAACAAAACAGATTTTCAGATAAATAAAAGGTTTTTTTTGTATAACAAAATTAAAAATTTCCTACTACTGAAAAATATTTATCTTATGTACTAGTTAGTTACATGCATTAATTCAAATTTAATGTCCTTTTTATCATTTTGTTATTGTATTTTGCTTGAGGAACACTTTTTTTAATGTTCTGAAGTAGTATACAAACAAATTGGGATTCTTATTTTATCGATAACTATTTTTTTAATGTTGCAATCGCTCTCGTTAATCTTATCTTTAAATCTTCGTTGCTGACAATATGAAGATTTTCAGAGAAAGAAGTCTAAATGCGAATTTATGAAATCCTTTTTCAGGAATATGCTACATCTTAGAGCTTGTTCAACCGAGAAACTTTGAACAATTTCACAATAAAAATACAATTACTGATAACAACAATCGATTTTGATGAAAAATCTAAGGTCGGTGAGCTACTTTCGTGATCATATTTAGCTTTCGCTTAAAAAAGTACACAAGAAATTAGCACATACCGTCATGTGGGGCTACTTTGTGCAGGATTTCACAGTTTTTGAACTTTGACATGTAAAAAAACTATGTTAATTCAAACTTTACTAAAATCTATCGATATTGTATTCATAACTGGACTCAGACGAGTGAATTTGATCAATATTGGCATTATTTGTATGTAATATTTACAAATAATAAGTCAAAACATACCTTGCACAAAGTAGCCCCCAAGGGGGGCTACTTTGTGCAGCGATAGGAATTCAGTTTAATAATCATGTTTTTAGTAAAATATTGATATAAATTGCTAAAAAAGCTAAATGTTGACATTTTTGATAACAAAAACATCAAGATATGTAAAGGATATTAGTTTGAAAATAATTTTCAGCGTTAAAAACCATTTTTTATAAGGAATTTTTTCTCAAAAAGAATGTTTATTTCAAAACATTTGAGTTTAAATAAAAGGAAACCATGTACATTTTTGAACATTGAAATGGATGAAATTTCAAAAATAATAATTATTATATATTTATTAACATTTATAATATTGATAAATTTGAACATAACATGCTTGAATGAACATGACAGAACTTGCTCTTCAGTTTCCGTCAAAATCACCTGATGTCCCATAAAATATATTTTTATGTGTTAAATCGTTTAATTAATTCATTAGAAAAATCTTTGTAGAAGAAAAATAATAGTTTACCAGCTCGTTTCACGTGTTTCTTGTGAATTTTATTAGAGATAGTATTTCCGCGGATTTTGTACTTCCGAGAAGCTTCTGCAATCGACATACCACCAGCAACTGCCTGCAAACATTGTGCAGATTTTCTAAAGTGTAATCACGGTAGTTTCTCGTTCCAGGTATTTTTTTTATAACGTCTGACAATTTTTCTGTCGAAAAAAAAAAACGAATGAAACTTTGCACAAAGTAGCCCCACAGTGCATTTTTTTTTCATTTTCCGTTTATTTGTTATTAATTTTAAATTTTTTTTAACGCTAACATTATATAATTGTTTATTATTATATAAATAAAAAATTCTGCACTAACGACAATTGTTTTATCAACGTCTTTGCATTTCACAGCTAAAGTTTCCACGCACACTTTTCGACGTCCGACGTTCTCGGAAAGTTGTTGACATTGGATAAACAAAACACATTCTGAGATTGTTTTAAAATTCGAAAAAATGTTTTTAGTAATAGAGGAGACTTCTATCTTCAAATTCCACACATTTTTACCTTGAAAAAAATATAATTCTGAATAGCAGCACTTGAAAAGTGCCAAATTCGAATTTGCACAAAGTAGCCCCACATGACGGTAAATCCTTTAAACTAAATCTATGTCATCCAGCCAAATCAAAATTTTGAAGTCATGAAATAATACTGATTCTCTTAAAGTTTATTGCAAATAAATTATAATTACTTTCCAACGGAGTACTAATAAAAAAAAAGAAAAACTGAAGAAATTTTTTTTATTGTAATACATTTGAAGATCGCTATAATAAATCGAGTACATTTGTACATTACATGAAACTTCAAAATTAGAAACAATCGCTATTAATTTCATAAATGCTAGTTAAAACTATACTTCTATACAGAATACATTTTAACTAAATATGTAATATAACTTTTTTCTAGGAAATTTTCGATTTGAACCTCGGTGATGAACCATCCTCTCTCGATACTATGGTGAAACTTTGTCAGGATGTTCTTAAATACAGTGTTAAAACTTGTAAGTATATTCTCTAACGCTGCTTCTTCTATAAAGATGTCATTGATCTTTCGCCAATATTAGATACGAGTTGTGCCAATTAAATTACGATATTTGATCTTAATTGACCTCTTTTTCAACATAAAATAACCATAGACTTATAGGTAGACTGCTCACTATGCAACATTCGGAAACCAGCAACCCCATCAACCGACTCGTTCTCCGGTGCGCGGTTATCCAATCAAAGCGTTTCCAGACTCGCTCTCCTGTTGGCAATTTTTTTCTAAGAGCTGGCGAGATTCTTGGCTTCTTTGCCGCGTGAAAAATTTGACTGGAGAGGTTCTTTCTTTTTAAAAGAGAAAAATTTAAACAAGAGAAGGAGACTTGATTTTTTTCCCCTCAGTTATATGTATGTTGTAAATCGATATCTTTTAAGCTTACCAATTATTATTATTTCTTCTTATTTTTCGTATTCGATGGCATAATAACAATATCAAAGTTTTATAAATAACTATATGAAACTAAGTATTTTTTGGTTCATAATAATATACAGATATATAGCATAATAACAGGTATAAAACGCAACTGATTCATAAATTAATTTCTGAAAATTAAAATATTCCTAAACTAATTACTTACGCAGCTTACTAATTAATAATCGATATAAACTATTTTCTAATTCAATTAAAAAGCTGAGCTATAAATACAACGAAATGTTAAGCTCTTCTCAGTTTTGTTACAGACAGTCAAGCATTCAATACGTTTAAAATTGAAAAAACTGAAAAACTACTTAATAATTTTAAAACAAGTTATGTACGAGGAAAAATTCTGTTCTTGCATTTGGACCATAAAATTTATGGTAACTTATATTAAAAATTATGAAAATCATGCTTTTGTAACCATAAATTTTTTTTCACTGTGTAATATTCTTTTGAAACTGTTTATTTTTACAAATTTTTTACATAAATATGCTAAGGTAAATGATTTGTATTAGTATCATAATAACGGAAATGGACTATTTGTTTTTTTTAAAACAATTTAACACATGTTTTTAAAGGAGTAATAGGGCAAATTTATAAGAAAAGTTTTTATTTAATTGTAAAATAGAAGCATAACGTTCAATAAGAAAAATAAGTTGAATTATTTTAATGAACTTTTAAAAAATTTTTACCAAAGTTTGCAGTGGCAATATGAGTTTATTTGAACAACTTAAAATCGCTCATCATATTGTGTTCATGTTCAAAAAAATTGCAATAACTGATTTCATTAGCTGCAATTATAAGTAAAATAAATAAGTTTTAGCCGAAAATATTTTGTGCAAATGAAGTATGCAGAAATGTATAATAATATAAATACATTAATTTACTGAAATTACGAATAATTTATGGTTTTAATTTAATTAAACTAGTAATTTATGAACCGTTAAGAGAAATCATTATCTGAATTTATTTTATTAAATAATTAAGCATATTTTGTGGGTACATATTTGTAAACAACAAGTTGCTTTAATTATGATATGCAAAACAATTTCTCAAGGGGGAAATTGTGGCAAAATTAAAAGATTAATCAGACATTTGAATTATAATATAAATATATTTATCTACCTAATAGCATGTTCTTCAAAGTTAAGTTATGAATTGTTTATTGATTAGTATATGAAGTGTTTATTAGAAGTTACTAAACTTCGCTAAAACATTTTAAAATTTTGCCCAAATTGTTAGCTAGTGATAAAAAATATTAGTAAAAGCTGAATAATCGATGATGGAAATATCTATTCCATTTTTAATATTAAAAAAAAAAGTAATTTCATCATAAACGGTAGTCAATGTTTGTCTTAAATTTTGCTGCAAGAAGAAAATGTGAAATTCCAGGTGCCTTCTCATAAAGCATTTTATGACATCGAGAAAATTTGTTACGATTATTGCCAAATATAGGAATAAGTAGCCAACGTAGCCTACCATTCCTTCTTTTTCCTCACGTGCTGAGTGACTTAATCAGACAGGTGATAGTTTCAAAGGGAGTGTGATTTTACCAGAGGCTGATAAAGGCAGGGGAATACGGGGCAGTTGCCCTGAGCCCCCACGTCAGAGGGGATCCCCAAATTGAACAGAAATTTTATTTTGCGTTTCCTTCTTTATTGAATTTTTTTTAAACAAAATATCAGTACAGTGTAAAATCCGTATGAACTCAAAAAAATCAATCTATGTCTTTCGTAAATCCATGGCTTTCTAGGGCGGAATTTTCGCAATTGCGATGGACAAATTTGGCCAATCAAAAGCCGGTATTTTTGCATATCGAAAAATGCGATATATTTACAAAGCTACGGGCTTCTGATTGTCGTAATTGAGCTATCGCAATTGCGAAAATTTAGCTGAATTCCATCCTAATGCTAACAAGGATATGAATTTTACACTGCTAGATAGATGAATTCCAACCTAATGTCAACAAGGATATGAATTTTACACTGCTAGATAGATGAATTCCACCCTAATGTCAACAAGGATATGAATTTTTCACTGCTAGATGAATTCCACCCTAATGTCAACAAGGATATGAGTTTTTCACTGCTAGATGAATTCCACCCTAATGTCAACAAGAATATGAATTTTTCACTGCTAGATGAATTCCACCCTAATGTCAACAAGGATATGAATTTTTTGCTGCTAGATGACAAAGTTAACAATCAGAAAACTGCCTTAGCATGATGGAGATAGAATTGCCAGAATATCAATAAAATGGACAAAACGATATTTCGCGTGATGATCGGAGGCGGGGGGGGGGGGAGATTTTTCTTGTTATCTACCTATAATGAGGTGAAAAATTTAAATACCTCCATAAAGTTTGGTTCTTAATTACTGAAGTAGTGAAGCAGAGGGGGCCCCCAGAGAAGTTTTTGCACTGGGCCCCAATTAGGCTAAGTCTGGTTCGGATTTTACCATGGCCAGAGTAGTCTACTTATATTATTAGTCTATAAAGTAACCTATAGAACTATTCTATATTATTCATTATCATTTTTGTCGTCTAATTTGGAAAATTTCAAGTTCAGAAAACCGATAGTGCCAAATGAGTTAAATTAAAATTCTTAGTCAAATTGAAGTTTACGAGGCCGATAGTTTGGCATAAGCACTTGTTAGAAAAGAATTATACTTAATCGGTCAGTCGGTAACTTGCCATTTTCTTTAAATGAATCAAATTGAAATTTTGTATTGAACTTTTCCAAAACTGGTACAGAACTGCTACAAAAGAATTCTACTGCATTTTTATTAGGACAATTTATGAAATTTAAATGCAATTATGGTGTAAGTTAAAATAAAGTTAAGGGAATCAAGACAAGGTCATGATAGACATATTTCATATTTATTTAAATAAACACTAACTTAAAACCGAAAGTGCTGGAGTTCTGTTGTTGACGTATGCCTGTTTAGGCAGAGGGTTCTTGTTGCGATTGTTCTTGTTTTCCAGTGGCGCCATCTATGGCCAAGAATTTGACTTCTGACACACCATACGTCACACCCGTTTATAGGGCGGACCCATTCATTCATCCACAGATCGTAATTTTGACCTGAATCAGAGAACGATCGATCTCCAATCCAGTACCCCCAAAGGTATTGATTTGTTATGGGAACATGGAGGACTTTTGTGACTCGACAGATTTAACGGGAATCAGTCACTTTACTACACGGGGAGTATTCGGCCAGCGGGGTTCGAACCCACGAACTCTCGGACATGGGCCCCGCTCCCTACCGACCAGTCTATCCCGGTCCTTGTTGGAGTTCTAGAAATGGTTATTTCTTGTTAAATTCCTTCGTTGGTTTAAAGAGTAAAAATTTTGATCAAAGTGAGAATGGTGTATGGTCTCAGAAATATCATTATGAAGGCAATTTTGTCCCAATGATTAATCCAGGAGTTCGCTTGTCTTCTGGTTTGGGTTCAAAATTACAAGATTAAGGAGTTGAAGATTGGTAGTCGTAAACTCAGAAAAGGGTTGGCTGTTCAAATTAAGCATTCGTCTCCCAATGAGATGACCCAGGTTTGAATTCCAGCAGTGGCTGGTTAATACGATTTCTGCTTCCAGCTTGCACCGACCACAACACCAAAGTTAAGCATCCTCTGTGGTACAGGAATCCTCTCCATGTAACGCAAATGTGGGTCAATTCCATCGAAGGCTACTTTGCTTAGTTTAAGGCTTGAGGAACTCTTTTTAATTATTAAAATTTTATTTGGTTTGAGGTTTATGAAGCAAGAATACTTCGGTTGACTTCAAGAACACTCATAAAGCAATAAAATATGGGTTGTCGCTTTACGCTCTCTAAAAGTCACTAAATAATGTCATTCTAATTTCTACTTCCTATTAATAGTGCTACCATGAAATAAATGTTTAAATATACTCTTTAAAATGCATTTGAAGAAGATAACTAATACAAATAAAACAATACTTTCAGGTCATCCTATGTTTGTGAGCCGACTCTACCAGGGCGTTGACGGATTCGGACTGGCAGGGGCGTGGCTTACAGAATCACTTAACACTAATCAGTAAGTAAATTATTATTATAAAAATATTTTTTTAATAAAAATGTCTAATGTGAAAGTATATTCTAATGTTAACTAGCTATGAACAATTTATCACTATTTATTCACCACTAAATATTTCAATGCGTTAGCAAACGTTTTGACATGAATAATGTATGTACGAGTTTTACACCATGAAGAATTTTCAGAAACTTCTACGGCAATATTAGTTGCTGTATTCTTAATGCATTGTTTTTCTACGGTCCCATTCCAACGTCTTAGAAACGTCTGGAAATGTCCAAACTGGTATTCGTGTTCAATCAAATCAAGAGGAGATTCATATGATTTAACCGCTTCTCTAATTATTCCGAGTTAAATCGGGTATGTATATATTGCAATTATTTATTATCCCAGGTAAACTCGGGCATAGCAGAATTCGTCTATACGTTTTGTTTTATCATGTTTTTATTCGGCCGGCAGCAAAACAAAAAATAATAATAATCTGCTGTGATTGGGCAATTTTTGTTTGGAAGTTTTGCTATTAGTGGAACTGCAGACGCGTTTTGTACAATTGTATATACGACGCTTAATGAATTTACATAGAAAAGAGAGTAAAAAAATTTCCTTCTCGAGTTTTCAGATTATGAAGATGTGAACAAACACTAATATTTAACTTTTTTCATTTGCCTGAGATAATTTGGGATAGTAAACTGATGGCAAATTAAATATTTTTTACCCATAAAAAAATTAAAATTCCAACTTAGAACTTGTGTTTTACGTTTTGAAAGATTATTGCAAGACAAACAATGATTCTAAAAGGTTTTTTTGCTTTGTTTTGGGCTTTATTTCAAGGAAGTTAATAAAAAAACTAAGAGCTCAATTCTTCGCTTGAGAGTGCTCAAGAGACATTAAATACATCGTTAAAAAGTTTTTATTTAAAAACAGACAAGCATTCCAAAAAGTTTTCTTCTTAATGTTGGGCTTTATTTTAATGAATTTAAGATTAATAAAAGTTTTAAATAAATAAGTTCTACGTGTTTTTGTCGGAAAATGAATTTCAGAAGAATTTGCAAAAATTATAACATACCGCTATGCTAATTCAAACCATAAGCCATCAGAAATCGAAACTTTATTAGATAAATAATGTAATATGTAAAGGACAGCTTTTTTTAGATTAATGTTGTAAAATTTAAATTGCTGCTTTTTTAGATAGATGTAAAATTTAATTTTTACGTGCGATGGCAAGCAAGGCTTAGCAGCAATGATGATTTGTTAGCACAATGATATCATTAAACGAATTCTCCGAAGGTCATTCGTCTTCTTACGGTGGACGAACTGCATGTTAGGAAAAGTGGGCTAATTTGCATAAGGAGTATGTGGCATTCGATTACTAATTTAATTAATTCGATTACTAATTAATCGATTAACAATAATAATTCAATAACATTTTAAATAATTTATTTAAAGCAAATGCATTTTAGTTTTAAATAATTGAAGCGCATTATACAATTGTTATATCTCTATATATTTTGCACTTTCAGAAAATAAAAATAAATAAATAAGCTCTTAAAAATATTATTATTTATGCTTTATAGAAACATCTTGCTTTCCTGTATTTGAACTTAAATCAATCCCAGATAGTCCCTTGCATAAAAAGTAATTGCGTTTAAAGAGCGAAGAAGTGATTACTTATCTGATCAATGCTATTCTTTGATTCTTTCTCATATTCTATTAACCATCCTAATATTCAACATGCGCAATAAGTTGGTATATTTGAAATCCTTTTATGAATAATTTCGGAATTAAGTATCTAATTTAAAAGAATAGTTTTATCATCAATTTCTAGTCTAGTGAAGCACTTATTCAAAATGTCGTTATTGCAGAAAAAGGTGAAAATAAGGAAAAACTACGCCAAATGCATGAGCTCTATTTAATTTTTTTTTAAATATCTAATGAAAAGTATTATTTTTTAGGACAACCTATGAAGTAGCTCCTGTGTTTGTTTTATTAGAGAATGCATTATTGGAAAAAATGATTAAGTTAGTTGGATGGGAAGATGGCGAAGGAATATTTTGCCCAGGTAAGAAATTCAGACAAGAAAAAAAAATAGTTAGCCTGTTTGACAAATATTAATTATTAATATTTTGAAATTACTTTTTACATTAAACATAGTATCCATGTTAAAGGTTTTCTAATAATGTTCATTGTAGAGTGCGTAAAATAAAAAGAAAATTAAAAATTAAAAAAAGTAGAACATCATAAATAATTGAGGACAGAAAATGGAAAAGGCTCTATCGTCGACTTAGATTAATTTGCCAAATCTTTAACAGCCAGCGAAAAGTTCATGAACTTCTCTATTAGTTAATAAAAAATGTCAATAAAAGCTTGGTGAAGGGCTTATAGAATTACTATATATTTCTTTAAAATTTATTTTTATTAATTTCTCCGTTAGTAAAAATTCAAAAACTAAGTGACAACTGAGATTATTTACTATCTTCTATCAAAAATTGTCTCGAAAGGCTATTTCTTTAAACATTACCTCTCACGGTGTAAAATGAACAAAAGAAGCTTGAGAACAGTTGTTATTCTATTTATTCTAGGCACATGTTAAAGATTCTTGTTATAAAATTTAAGTAGATAATGATAAGCAGAAATAAGGAGAAAACAGAGAACATGTAAGAAAAAAGATTCACGCTGTTTGAAAAAAAATTTTGCCAAAGAAGATCGTTTTCTAGGAGATGGCCAGAGAAATGTTGGATTTCTCCACTTTATCTGGAAAACAGAATAACTTCTCATTGTCTTTGGTTCGAAGCAATCAAGTCACCATCATCATTAATAATTAAAAATTTTGCTAGGAATCGATTTAGTTTTTTTCTCTAGAAATTTTAAGACCACTAAATCTCATGCTTGCAAGTTAAATGATCTTTTATCGATTTGAATGTTTTTGTTCCAAATCGATCTTCTTTTCTTTGTTATATATGATTAAGTCATGAGTAGAAATATTAGCAGGGTGTAGTAGAATGCCTTTCTTCATTCTGAAACAGTTAGTCAGAAATAGGCAAAGTTTCCCTCATTTTCCATAGATCATAGGGTTCATCAAAGCAAGTCGTGAAACAAAGGTATAATAGTTCCTCCATCATATCTCTCCAATTGCTATTATAGGCTACAGAAATAAAAATAATTAGAAATCTATGAGCTTCAGAAATCCTTACGAGCTTAACAGCTCAAAGTGGCTCTCAAATTGTCTACCAGACAGCTACTGAGCAAATTAATAATTTTCACGCCTCAATTTTCAACAGCCGCGATTTTTTAGGGAGGACTCAAAGTTCAATTATTAACTGTTTGGCACCAAAACTTTATTTACAGGTTCTGGGCAAAGTAACCCCAGTTGACGATAAATCTAAACGGTTTGCATTTGTTTACATTCGTGTAACAATTGCTTAAATTAGACGATATACAGTAGAAATTCAACGATTGGATATATCTGACGATATATTATATAAAATAGAATATTTATTATATCAGGTATTATATTATTATTTTGTAATAATTAGATCAAATTATTAGACGCCCTGTAGTGTTTTAATAATTGCATGCTTTGCACGAGTTTATATGTAATACTTCTATATTTAAACATACATGTAATCGGTTTTTATTCGGGGGATTTTTTATTTACTTCCTATTTGTATTTATTTTTAACGTATTGCATTACAATGTTAACCCATTGATACACGAATGTAAACAAATGCAAACCGGTTTCAGCCGCGTCAAAACAATAAAGCTGTATAGTATCACCTGATAATTAAGATTTTATATAGAATCTTGTAGTGAGTCAGGGACTGTATAATATTCCATGCATTTATTTTGTTCATTTTTTAATAATTTTCTTTTCTTAAAAATATCTCATTGATGAAAAAATTATTTTAAAAAAATCAGTAAGGGAATGAAATCAAAGAACAAACCATGCCTCTTATCATTGGCACTTTCAGAGCTTGCCATTTAGTGTGGCACATTCTAGGATTGGCGTTTCAAGGTTCTCCAGTTTTTCATGAATGTTATTCAACATTCTTCGTATTTTAAATTTTTTTTTATGTATTTTTAGTCTTCAAATGTTGATCTAAATGACTTTTTATTTCAAATATTCTCGCTTCTAGGGTGCAATTTTAGTTGTTCGTAGAAGAAACTTTAAAATTACTAATTAATTGATGCATTGCTGTAAACGATATTTTTGTTATGCTTCGTTTAATTCTATCATTTTATTGAGTGCTGGAAGGATATAACTTGTCCTTCTATAGAATTCTATGAAAAACGTATGTGTACGATATTCCATCTCTGTATTTTTAAAAGTTCCACATTGTTATTAAAACGTTGTAGTATGTTGAAATATGATATAGTCTAAATAAAGATATTATACTGTTATTTCAATCTTGTGTAAATATTTAGCCTAATGTTGACTTTCGATTTAAAAATCAAAAATTCAACTCGACATAGGGACAATTTTGCAGATTGTCTCTATTGCTGCAAAAAATTATTATAATTCAAATTTTATTTTCGTTTGTCGGTCTTTTATTATCGAAATAATACAAATTTTAAACGTATAAAGATAATGGTGTCGGTGTTGAATTGAAATTTACCTAAATTGAATAACAGAATTATCCATTTGCAGGTGGGTCAATGGCAAATATGTATGGAATGTCAGTTGGACGCTTTCATGCTGATCCTTCAGTAAAAACTAAAGGCATACGGGAGTTACCTCCTTTAGTGTCATTTATATCTGATCAGGTAAGATATTCACGAGAGATCATTTTAGTTGCAACGGAATAGGTTCATATAAATCTGATTTGCGTTTATTTTCCCGCAAGCAAATTGGGGAGAAAATGCTATGTTATAACGAAAAAAAAACAATGCTTTTGCATCGATTTTTAATGATGTTGTTGCCTTAAACCAATAAAGCAAGGGGTGCATATGTTCTTGTTTTCCAGTGGCGCTATCTATAGCCAAGAATTCGACCTCTGCGATTTCTGCCACACCCGTTTATAGGGTGGACCCATTCATACATCCATTCATTTATCCACAGATCGCAATTTTGACCTGAACTAGAGAATGATCAATTTCCAATTCAGTACCTCCAGAGGTATAATTTGTTATGGGAACATGAAGGACTTTGTGACCCAACAGATTTAACGTGCACCAGTCACCATATTCTTCGACCGACTAGATTCGAACTCTCGCTCTCACGAACTTGAGTACAGCGCCCAGTCTACAAGACTATCCCGGCTTTTAATAGCCATCGACTTTTAATAGCTAAGTTACGTTACGACTTTTCATAGTAAGTCGTGGTTTTCCTCTCCATGTAACTCCAATGAGGATTAGTATCATGAAAAGGTCCTCCACAAAAGCAAACTTCTCCCAATACTTAATCCAGGAGTTCCCTTGTCTTGTGACTTGAGGCTACTGAGTTGAACATTAGTTGTAAACACAAAAACATTAGGTCGGCTGTTCAACCACGGTTATAATATAAAATAAAATTTATCCTGTTAAATTTACTTGTCAGCTTTGTATTTTTTACTAAATGAGGAATAATAAGTATTATAGTTTTGAAAACCAGAATTTCCGGTAAGCTGTTATCATATAAGCGGAAAAAATATAAAATGAATGGTTTAAACACCCTATATTTTATTTACAGGAATTACATTTTTTTTTTCATACATTACGGTAATTTTACCAGACTATTTTTTCCAGTGCATGTTTTAAAATTTATTATTTTTGTTTTACTTAATAGTATCGCATTTAGTCAATGTATAAGTGGGGCAACTCCAATTATTGTCTAAACTCTAAATATACAACGCACCCTAAAATTACCAGCTTTCCGGCCAAATTTTCATGACCCGGTACCCGGTTGTTACTCGGACCCCAAAAAATGTATTACCCGATACTGGGTACCCAAACCCAGTTTTTGGTCTCAAGACTCGGAACCGAGTACCCGGACACGGACACTATTACCGGATATCCAGTGTCTAGTAACAATCATTTATGTTCATTACAATCAGATTCAGAATTATAGAAACCTTAAAATTATCCAGATGTGTAGTTTTGGAAATCCATGTACTACTTAATCAATATCCTAATCATCAAGCAAAAAGGAAAACTGATTAAGCACTTTTAATTTTGGGCAGAATTTAAATTTAGAGGAACCTTGGTAAAATAGACATGTATTTCTCGCATAGCGAATTGCGTTTTTATTATTTAGGTTAATAGGGTTAAGCATATAGAAATATAATGGAGCAGTTGCAAAAAAAATAAATAAATAAATAGATAAATAAATAAATAAATGTTTTCGTACGAATGACACATTTATTGTACTAATGCTATTACTAATTTAAAAATCATTGGCGATAAATATAGTTAAACAAAGACACACGTGAAAACAAAGAAGATTATTTTAGTAAAGATTGATAAATAAATTTTTGAAGGTAGTTTTTGTTTTAAAGACAAAAGAGACCTTTTTCTTTTAACATAACTCAACAAAAAACTCAATTGCAAACTTTTTATTACTCACTCAGTATAAATTGACTTCCGTTTAATATTGAGAAGAAGCATGTATGAATAAAAGTGGCCATCACAAATTTTTACTAGAAAGCGTATTTTCTACTCATTATCGCTCAATTAATTCAATTTTCAACCGCTCTCAGGTAAAAGTTCGTTTACCGTCGAGTTAACTATAGGAGTTTTTTATCTCCGTGTAAAGTCCCAGTTTTATAGAAAAGTTGTTTTTCAGGAAAGTAAGTTTGCCACTATTTTTGTTGCTCGATCTAGAAATTACTTGCTCTTTTGGAGACTCAAAATTACTAGGACAGGGAAATTAAATCGTAACAGCAACACAGCTTTATTAATATTCTGCTCATCATAAGTAATAAGATAAAATTTCTTACCGAGTATTGAGAAACTTAAATTGTACTAAAGTAGATATCATTGCACATAAATTAGGTCAATACATTTCCAATGGTTAAAAGTTGAACACGGAAAGTTAAAACATTTTTCATTTAATATGCATTATCATTTTAAATAAAGTTATCATCGAGGAATCAACCATCAATTGCTGCACAGTGTTGGAATCTTGGGCTTAAATTCAATTTCGACACTGCCAAAATTATTTCCACCCCTATCACATTAGCTCATCTTGATGCCCTAGAATCTTGTTTCATTCATATGAATTCTGAATCCCTTGTTAACGTCATTCTTTCTTCACAACATCTCTCCATAACGCGTGGAAATGCATTTTACCCTGATTTGCCCCTCTCTGCCCCTGTGTTCTTTTTCGTTTTTTTTTTTTTTTTTTGCATCTTTTTTCTCTTTTGACAACTTTGGTTTTTCTAGTTTTGTTTCTCAAGTTTACTTTTAAATTTTTCGTTGGGCAATTTTCGTTTTATATTTCAAATCATATTTGCTTTCTCTCATTCCCATCTGGTATATCTTGAAAATAGTTGCCTGTTTTTGAGCGCTTGAAACATATCGGCTGCTACTTTGTATTCATATATTTTTGAAGTGAATGAAGTTTAAAATCAGGTAATAATATCATTTTGTTAAAATATTTTAAAAATATCACTCGTTAAGCAGAAGCTATATGAAGTCTGCTATCAACAATTGTCTCCATTTCATAACGAATAACTTCGTTAATCATTCTACATCCAAACAGTAAATACCAATTTCTTTTAGAAAAATTTGTTTTAACAAAATCTAAAAATGAAAACATATAATTTTATTTATATAAGCTTTTATAAATTTTCCCGAACTATATGTTCTAATATATTTGTTCCATAGAAATGCGATTTTTATACTGTTATATAGAAATGCTATATTACCTGTCCGAATACCCGGAAACAGATATGTAATAAATCCAAATTTTACCAGATATCCAGTACGAGCCGGGTAATAAATAAATTTTTTCCCAGGTGCGCGGAGCTGGCCGGGAAAAAGATACAATTTTTACAAGGTACCTGGACTCGTCTAAAATTTAGGACCTGTTAAATCTGTACACTGTTAGAAATGTCTCGGAAAAAGTGGTTAAATAACCATATTTAATCAAAACAGCCAAATAACCATAAATTAAATGGTAATCGAACTGTTAAATCTGAGAAAAACTGTTTATTAACCGCTTTCACTTGGTACGGTTAAACAACCAGAATTTTATCGCTCCAACTAGGCAACTACTTTTTTGCAATTGCGTACATATCATAGCCGATCGGCCTTATCTGTCAATCTCATGACCAGCGGAACTGGAGTTCGAGTCCTAGTGTTGACACCACAATATTTCCTCCATTCCCTTCAACAAATGAAAAATTTCCAGAGTCCGGCACTCTCCAATGCCCATTACCTGACGAAAAGCCAAGCTCCTATATCTACTTAAATAATTAATTTCTTTTTACGTTTTTGAAAAATGCTTGTTGTAAATGGTTAAAAAACCGTATAGTTTTGTATTCATGGATTTATAACCATACTTTTTGTAAATGGTTTCAAATGGTTCATAAAGGAAAAAAAATGTTCTTTACCGTAAAATTTACGGTTAATCGGATGGACACACAGCTGCCAGTTATTTTACCGTATTATTAAAATGAAATTTTAACAGTGTAGTGTAAACAATAGAAAATAACATTCTATGAATACTAGATTCCTATTTAGATTCAAAAAATATTTGCGAAAAACTCTACTTTAATATTATTTACAAAGGTGTAACTCACTTTTATTATACTGAACAACCCAAACTGCAGATATATTCCATTAAATTCCTAGCATCAATAAATAAATAAAGTCACCACACTTATTGAAAATTATATTTATTGCGTTTATGATGGAAAAAATAGATATTATTAATCTATAAAGAGAAGCGCATTTAACCGGTTTGACCAATTTCAAGTTTCTGACATCGTGCGAGTTTACAGAAACATTAAAAGCTTTTTAATGTTGTTTGGCAAAACAAAGTTAACAAAAATTTTGGTGCAAAAAGATAAATATTTTTATGATTCACCTTGACCAAAAAAATAAACAGACAAAACATTCAATATCAATGTCAAGTGCGTTTTATAATTTTTAAACTAGTTCTTCTCTAAGAGCTCTAAATATTGTAAGCAAAAGATGAAACGATAGAAAGGTAGATTTTGTCAAGTTTGATACAGAATAAATTTTCTAATAATTAAAAGTTTCGGGGAAATTGAAATTTTCAGAGACAATGTAAAAGTTAAGTTATCGGGTGTCCCAAAAATGTTCGACGATTTGAATAAATTGAAGAAGATAAAAATGAAGTTTGTTACATTTCGTTAAGGAAACCTAAAATTTATTTTCATCAAGTTTCGAAATTAAATATTGCTAGTTTCTGCTACCTGAGAAAAACTATAATACATTGCTTTTAAAATAACCATCCGTTTAGATTTTTTTATTTATTACAACCAGTTCAAAAGTGCATGAAGGACCAGTTCATAATAGGCAAGCGTCCCTATCGACGTATAGCGACATCTCAGGGTATGGGTTTCCGTGCAATTAATCCTAATGATGTGTCCTCACTCACCTAAAAGTTTGTCACTACATTTACTTGACCTCCTGTTATAAATAACGCTTTTATAATTGTACACTTCAACAAAAAATAGACTAAAAACACTGTTAAAAAAACTGTAGTTTTGAGCGAGAAATCAATTGCAGATATGAATTCAGCAATTTGAATATATTTTAGACCCGTTAAAAAATTTCATGCAACAGAAAATGAAAACAAAAATAAAAATTGTTTCCCAATGTTTTCAGTTAAAGGAATAAATTTAATTCATTTTTTTGAATTCTGTATTTTTTTGATATAAAACATTTGATTATCTCTCTTTTCTTTTTCAACTAGGCCCATTACTCAGTGAAGAAAGGAGCTTTATTCTTAGGGTTGGGAACAGATAATGTTATTGAAATATCTACTGATTCACAAGGTCGAATGATACCTGAAGAACTTGAAAAAGCTGTATTGAAAACCAAAAGTGAAGTAAGTTTATTTTTTAAAAAATGGATGCACGCATAAATAAATTGTTAAAAAAAAAACTGAATTTAAAAATTTTTTTTTTTGCAGGGAAAAATTCCATTTTTCGTTTGTGCCACAACTGGAACTACAGTACTTGGAGCTTTTGATCCCTTAAAACCGTTATCTGATGTGTGTAAACGTCATAACTTATGGCTACACGTGGATGTAAGAAATATTTTACGCAAATTAATTGCTAATTATATATAGTGTCTTCAAATTATTTCTGCTCTATCTCTGAAGAAATTCAGAAGGACATTTTTTTAAGTTTTACATTCATGATTCTGTTAAGAAGGCGCTATATCTCGGGAGAAACTTTTCAATGAAAATTTTATTTCATCTCCTTAGGTAATTTAAAATTCCGGGTTCGAATCCCAGCGATGGCTGGACGAAGCGAATGCGCATCCGGCTTGCATCGATCACAGTGCTGACGTGAAATATCCTCAGTGGTAAACGGATCATGGGTTAGAGTCCCCTTTGCCATCTGGCTAACCGTGGGATTTCTTGTGGTCTTCCTCTCCATTTAACGCAAATGCGGGTTAGTTCCATCAAAAAGTCCTCCACGGAAGCAAATTTCTCCCAATACTTGTTCCAGGAGTTCCCTTGTCTTCTGGATTGGGCGAAAAATTACAAGGCTACGGCGTCGGACATTAATAGTTGTAAACCCCAAAAAATTAGGTCGGCTGTTCAACGACGTTTATATATATATATATTTGGACTATTGATCACAAAAACTTTAAAAGCAATTTACTCGAAACTATGTTTTTCTTAGTATCTTTTACTAGTACAATTTTCAACTGATTTATTACAAATTTTGAAACAATGTTCACAATAAATATAGTTTTCATTGCAGGCAGGGATTTTTTATGTGGGTAGAATGATTTTGAGTTATCACCGAAAATGTTACTTATTTTTTGTCATATTTCAAATTTTTTGTTTCCTTTCAGAACACCACCGCATTATTATTTATTTTTTTATGTATATAAATCTTACATGTAAAGAAAATTATATTCATGTAGTTTTAAAAAAAATTAAAACAAAATCAAATTTAGTTGATTTTTTTTATGAGTACAGCAAGTTATGGATAATTTAAAACATTAGTTATCAACATTATGTTATATAAGCGCTAATTTTTTAAATTTTCTGTATTTGTAACAAGGTAAAATGAGGATTAAAATATGCTCAAATAAGATTAGAAATAAATGTTTTAAGTTAAGTTAATTGTTGCGAAATTCATCAAAAAAATCCATCTTTTGATAGGCTTCTATTGAATTGTTTTCCCTTTTCTATTGAATTGTTTTCCTGGAATCTTTCTTTCCGATTCAACCCCAACGGTCAAAAGGGAGAAGACAGAAAAGAAATCTAAGTGTTACAAATAAACTGATATTGCTTATTTACTCTGTTCGGCAGCATCTTTTGAAGGCAGTACTTCCTTTTATATTATTTTCAAAAAATTGTTCTTCTAAAAGAACTTTTGAATGTTAAATTCTCATTCTTGAAAACTAAACGTTTTAAGTTCGATTGTTTGAAATTAAAATAAATGACTAAATAAAAACATGATAATGATGTAAACATGATAAAGAAAAACATAAGACATTGATCCAAAAATTTAGGGGAAAAAAAGAAATGTATTTGGTGTACACTGTAAAAAAATTGCGTATCAGGGAAAAAAACTGGCACTCAGCGTACCAGTACTTTTTACCGTTAAATCCACTTTTACCGGAACATGTTACGTACATTTTACTGGAACATGTTAATTAAAATACATTTTTACCGGATAATGGTACAAAAAATTTTATATACNATATATATATATATATATATATATATATATATATATATATATAAAGTTTAAAATGTAGAAAAAGCATGGAACAAATTACAGTACAATAAAAAAAGAGAAAAAGGAAAATAATAATAAAAATAATAAAAGAATCCGGATGGAAAAAAATCCGAAAAAAAGGAGAAAAAAAATTATAAAAATCCGTAAAATAAATAATTATCCCGATTTTTTTATTGTTATTATTTTTCGTTTTCCCTTATTTCATTGTTCTGTTATTTTTTCCATGTTTTCTCTACATTATGAGTTCTATTTACTTGCACTTATTGTTTATTAAAACTTATAGTTTTTCTTAATTTTCCTCTGTTTTTTTCCTTTTGTCTTTTCTGTATTTATTTATTATGCTATATATATGTATATATACATAGTTAATTTTACATTTATACCTTTAGGGAGCTTGGGGAGGTTCAACTATATATTCTCGAACTCATAAGAAACTAATGGATGGTATTGAGAGGTAAATTATTCTTGCAAATTACTAGCTTTGATATACTTTAATTATTTTTATTTTAAAACCTGACAATTATTTATAAATTCAAAATTTCAGAGTCTTGCACGCCATATGCTAGTATATTAAAAAAGAAATTAAAATTTTTCCTGCATTTTATAAAAAGTAAGGTCACGGAAACAGATCTTGTTGAAATCCCTTTTAATTTTAAAGATAATGCCATCGAAAATAAGTGGCAGGAATTAAGTGGTACTAAATACTATGCTGTTTAGTTTCCACTCTCTCCTGTATCCATTTTTAAACAATCAATGGTATTAAATAAATAATCCTAAGAAACTGAAGCGGTAAGATATAACTTTATTAAAAGCTTCTTTCGCATCAAAAATACACAAATTGGAAATAACAGTCGACACGTTTCAATTTATCTAAAATAGGCGCCCAGCAAAGAGAAGAAATTTACCTTTATTTTCCCATTTTTCGTTGACAACTTCATGTTTTATTTTTCAAATCACTTTTGTTTCTTCTCATTCACGTCTGGCAAGTCAATAAACGGGTGTCTATTTTTTAGCGTTTGAAACAAGTCGACTGTTATTTCTAATTTGCATATTTTTGAAGCGAACAAAGTTTTTAATCATATAATAAATGGTGATAATACGAATTGTTTTAAGGCAATATAATTTTTATGGCAATATAATTTTTATAGCAATATTTGTTTTATGGCAATATGAAAACTTAGAAACTGTTACGGGTTTAAGGTACTACAGGAATCTAGTAAAATGGTTTATTTTTATTATTAGTTGAAAAGTGCCTTATTACCTTAAAATCATCTATCCAAAGTTTCAAAAACAAATTGCCAGTTTTTATAAAGATTCACACAGTTCTCTGCATGCGTTCAGAAAACAACAAAACCGTTTTTCTTGAAGCTACATTTTTCAAAACATCAGATCTCATAATCTTAACTAATTGACTTCAAATTTTAAATGTATATTTAAAATTACCGTTTAGTCAGAAGTACGTATTATTACAAAATACGAATTTAGTTGCAATTAAAGCATGGCATTTTTTATTTAAACGTACTGGCATGGAGAAAAGCAAGATTTTTCGTAACTTTGATAACGAAGAGAGGAAAAGTGTGAAGAGTTGGAAAATTGTGTAACCTTGAAGCACCTATTTTACTTACAAAATGTATAGTTGTTTACTAATCCACAAATTTGTCACATTTCAGGGTAGATTCCATAACCATCGATTTACATAAGATGAGTGGTGTACCATTTCAGTGCACAGTATTTCTTACTCGCCATAAGGTATTAATATCTTCCTTATTTTTCCTTCATAAAAAAAAACAAAATGCACAGTATTCAGTGCACAGTATTTCTTACTCGCCATAAGGTATTAATATCTTCTTCATTTTTCCTTCATAAAAAAAATAAAATGCACAATGTTCAGCGCACAGTATTTCTTACTCGCCATAAAGTATTAATATCTTCTTTATTTTTCCTTCATAAAAAAAAACAAAATGCACAGTATTCAGTGCACAGTATTTCTTACTCGCCATAATGTATTATTATCTCTTCTATTTTTCCTTCATAAACACCCAAAATTATGATACCTAAATTTATAACGATATGCGTATTACAGTCGATTATATAGTTTATGAAATCCTATTTCATGGATTCATACGTTTTCACGGGATTTTTTATCATTCCTGAACAGAAAGCATACAGAAACAACAGAGAAATTTAACAAGTATTTGAAATACCTTTCATGTAAGTTGCTTATTTTATTTCAGCCAAGTGCTCATGCTTTATAGAAAACGAAAAATATTCTATAGTAACTGCAACCTGGAGAACATGCGAGGAGTTGTAAAATGGACTGAAAGAAAAAAAAAGAGAAAAATTATTCTACAGATCTGTAAAATGCGATTTTTATATATATATATATANTGACACCTAATTCGTGTATAGTAGTTACATATTGTTTTGTGTAAAAAAACAAACCGTCCGAACCGATATATATATATATATATATATATATATATATATATATGGTATTGCATGCTATACAGCTTTGTAATTTCGTTTAAAACTTACTTTTATATTTAATCCTTTAATTCTTCACTAAAAAAAAAATCCACTAAATCATCTTTTTTTTACAAAAAAAAACTTGTACAGGAAATTAAATTCCTTAAATAGATATTCTTTCTCTAACTTCCAAGTAAATTAACAAAAATGTTCAAACTTGTAACATCTTTTAATTTTAAATTTGAGAATCTTTTTTTTTAATTACATTTGATTTATTTATTTTTATAATTCGCCTAATAATGGATCTATCTCGGAGCTGAATGACGACTGTTTTTTTAATACACTCACTCTTTAATAAAAGTTTTATCAGTCAAATCACTGGTGTTTTCCATGATCACGCAACGATCTTTTTGAAAAAAAATTTAAAAATTAAGGAAATACCTTTTTATGGCTTATTTATACTTCAAAAGGAGAAAATAAAACTTGAATGAATTCATGACGACTTTACTGAAAAATATTGTTTTTGCGAAACTTTTCATTTTTCTTCAATGATGTTTTCAGTAAACACAATTTCTTCTTCATACAATTTTAAAGAATTTCGAAAGGTCATAATTCATATCCTAATATCCTCAATATCATCATCAATATCATAATATCATAAATATCATAAAATAAATATAATTAGTTTAACATGAGTTTTTAATTAACTTTTCAAGTTTTCTAAAAAAAATTATCATCCATCCATATTAATCATCACATTGTCTTACATAAAAAATGTTGCGTAAAAAATTCGTGCTCTTACAAGGATTTCAAAATAACAAGAAGATTGTGGTTACCACGCCACATACATATATTTATCTTTTCAATTATATAAATGAATCATTTTTAAAAGAATTAAAAAAAACTTTACGAAGGATAAATAATCTGAAACGTTTCATGTTATGTTTTTTGCTTTAAAAGCTTAAAAAAATTGTAGGAGTAGTAGCACTTTTCATTGCAATGCATTATAGATTATGATATATAATTTTATTTTCTCCGAGTATTTCCTCCAAGTATTTCCTCCGATAAATATTATCCACAATACTCAAAATGTCTATATTTTTCTTCTTAAGAATGTAAATATTATTCCATATTATCTGCAATTTTTTTCAATAACTTATTATTTTTAAACTTAGAGTTTCTTTTTTAACATTAACCGGTATGTATACTTTTGCTGTACTGTAATGAGTTAAATGTTTTAATTATTTCTCATATAACTTTTTTTTGCATTAAGGGTATCCTCTACAAATGTAACGCACTACACGCGGAATACTTATTTCAACCTGATGCTTACTACGACACACACTACGATTTAGGAGATGAGAGTATACAATGCTCACGAAAAGTCGATTGCTTAAAGTTGTGGATTGTTTGGAAAGCTAGGGGTGGTTTGGGTTTAGAAAAGCAAGTTGATACAGCATTTACTATGGCTAAGTAAGTATGACAACAAAAATTATTGATTATTTTTTTCTATAAATTTGTATAATTCTAATAAAAAAAAGCTAAATTATATAAATACTCCAAAATATTTCTAAACATACCATAACTGGTCAAATAACCGCTTAAGAACATTTGCATCGAAAATGCGCTTATTATCTTATCGTTTTTGCACATTTGATTTCATGACTTTTTCTAACAATTATATACCGCAGGATTTCGCAGTTTTTGAACTTTGACATGCAAAAAAACTATGCTAATTCAAACTTCAGCAAAATTTATCGATATTATATTCAGAACTGAACTCAGACGAGTGAATTTGATCAATATTGGCATTATTTGTATGTAATATTTACGAATAATAAGTCAAAACATACCTTGCACAAAGTAGCCCCCAAGTGGGGCTATTTTGCGCAGCGATAGGAATTCAGCTTAATAATCATGTTTTTAGTAAAATATTGATATAAAATTGTTAAAAAAGTAAATTGTTGCCATTTTTAAAGACAAAAACTTCAAGATATATAAGATATTAGTTTGAAAATAATTTTCAGCGTTAAAAAACCATTTTTTTTGAAGAATTTTTTCTTAAAAAGAATGTTTATTTCAATACATTTGAGTTTAAACAAAAGGAAACCATATACATTTTTAAACATTGAAATGGATGAAATTTTAAAAATAATAATTATAACATATTTATTAACATTTATAATATTGTTAAATTTGAACATAACATCCTTGAATGAACATGACAGAACTTGCTCTTCAGTTTCTGTCAAAATCAACTGATGTCCTATAAAATATATTTTTATGTGTTAAATCGTTTGATTAATTCATTAGAAAAATCTTTGTAGAGGAAAAATAGTAGTTTACCAGGAAGTTTCACGTGTTTCTTGTGAATTTTATTAGAGATAGTATTTCTTTGGATTTTGTACTTCCGAGAAGCTTCTGCAATCGACATACCACCAGCAACTGCTTGTAAACATTTTTGTAGCTTTTCTAAAGTGTAATCACGGTAGTTTCTCGTTCCAGGTATTTTTTCATAACGTCTGACCATTTTTCTGTCGAAAAAAAAAAACGAATGAAACTTTGCATAAAGTAGCCCCAAAGAGCATTTTTTTTCATTTTCCGTTTATTTGTTATTAATTTTCAAATTTTTTTAACGCTAACATGATATAATTGTTTATTAATATATAAATAAAAAATTTGCACTTACGACAATTGTTTTATCAACGTCGTTGCATTTCACAGCTAAAGTTTCCACGCACACTTTTCGACATCCGACGTCCTCGGAAAGTTGTTGACACTAGATGAACGAAACACACTCTGAGATTGTTTTAAAATTCGAAAAATGTTTGTAGTAATAGAAGAGACTTCTATCTTCAAATTCCACGCATTTTTAACGTGAAATAAACATAATACTGAATAGCAGCACTTGAAAAATGTCAAATTCGAATTTGCACACAAAGAAGCCCCCGCTGCACGAAGTAGCCCCGAATGACGGTACCTAAAATTTTAGATTGGTATTTTTGCGTGAGAGAAAGTGACGAAAACTAAATGATTTGGTAAGTAGGTAAGTATTTGGTAAGTATTTTATTTTGATAGCTTTACTTCATTTCTAACTAACTGTTAGTTTTTGCCCAGAAAAATGTTGAAACAATCAAGACAGCACAAGCTCTTAGAAGAAATAATATTAATTATACGAATAATTATAAGAATTATCTTTGTTATACATTCTTATAATTATAAGAATAATCATAAGAATTATAGAAATAATAATAATTAGAAGAAATATGTTTGTGGAAAATGTACAAAGGAAACACCCTGTAGATGTAAAAAATGCGTTGAAGCAATGAATTAAAAATTCTTATTCTTTGTGTTTGTGAAACATAAAAATTGGCAATATACAATTTTGTTTAATTATAATAAGGTTTTTATAGTTTATTTCCTTCCTAACATCCATATTTCATATATTCAATCAAGAAACATAAAGTCCGGTTATTTGACCGGCTATGGTAGAAATAGGTATACATTAAGTGTTGGTAAGTATGTTTAGTGTTAAAGTTGAAATTAATATGTAAGAAATAATCAAACTCTCATATTAACGATAAAAATTGTTATCTGATTAGAAGATAAATTTCAGCAACGATTGGTATTAACGTGGAGTCACACTCATAAAATTCTTAAATGTTTTTATACGTGTGATATTCGTTTTGACAACATTTATCACGAAGATTTCCTATCACATAATCAAAAAATCGGAATTTTACTGTAATTTAATTTTTATTCAGCATTGATTTCTTTGTAATAACTGCATTATACAGCATTATATATTATATATTACAACTCATCCTTGAAACTTATAAAATAGTATTTAAAGGAATGAAAAACATTTTCGTTGTAAATGACTCTAGAAAAAGAGTAATTCTATGCATCTCTTTTCAGATTGTATTTTTTATTATTTCTAAAACTTTCAAAGCACCATTTAGCGTAGAAATAATACTAGTATTTTGAAAATAAGAGCTTAAATTTTATGTAACAGATAGCTAAGTAATCAGAATCTCCGTGAAAATGTCTCATCAATGAAATTATCAAATTTTAATTGCAGATTAAAAAGCCATTTAAGAGTTTTTCAGCGAGTCATATGAATGTTAAAATTCTTAAAGTGGAACTTTAAATATCAGACAATATAATTAAAAATTATACAAGTTTAATAGTTTTTTTTAAAGAAGATAAAAAGAAGTGTGTAAAAAAAGTGTTTTATTTCAACTTTATATGATTTGGTATGCAATGTTGTTAGTATTATTTATTTATTTTCACAGATACTTAGATAAAAAAGTAAGGCAAACTGAAGGTTTCATTCCAGTTCTTGATAAGGTAAGGCATACTTCCATTTTTGACTTTGAAAAGAAAATGAGAAAAATTTACATTTAGTCGTTTTTTAACAACTAAATGTAAATTTTTCTCATTTCACAAGCTAAAAATATTTTTCCTCTATTGAAATTTTTAGTTTATTCATATGTTTAGCAAATTTTATCTATATTTATTTTTTGTAGTTTGAGTGCACGAATATCTGCTTTTGGTATGTACCTCCTAGTCTTCGAGGTAAAGAAAAGGAACCAGATTTCTGGGAAAAGATTGCAAAGGTATATGAAAGTATTAAAATTTCAAAATATTGAGATGACATGGAACAAATTACAGAATAATGAAAAAAGAGAAGAAGAAAATTATTTTAAAAAAAAATTCGAAAAAAGGGTATAATCTCTTCATCAGCTAACACGATTATATCCGCAAAAAGAAGTGCTTTCTAATATTATATCAATATATTTAAAGCAAAATATATCAATACAATGGTGTGAGGAACACTCAAAAATTTTTTGAAGCAAAATAGAATAGAACACATTAAATAATAAACATAACGCAAAAAACAGAAAAAAAATGTTAAGAAAAATACTGAACAAAACATAAAACGAAATCTATAAAGCGAGTAGCATATTCAAATGAACTTACGTAAACGGGAAAATTTTCAAAAATGATTTTAAATATTTTCATAATAAGATTGCCAGATTACAAAATATGAAAACAGAAGCGCTAATTGAGTTAAAAGCGTAAATATAGGGATTTTGTTTAATAGCGCGTTCTTATACTGCAGTACTGAATCGCGTTTGATTTGTTAGTTATCAAGAATGGGCCCAAAAATAGATGTGCACAAGGTAATATTATACTAGATAATTTAAAGAAGTTTACAATTAATATGGTCCATATTTAATTATAAAATTTTAATGATTTTAGAAAATTAACTTTTATTTAAGAAATATATATATATATATATATATGTAACGCTATGTGATTTTCGCCATAGACAATTGATATATGGTAGAATATCCACTTATTTTACTTGTCT